AACTGTAGCTCCAGTTTGTTTAGATATTAGAACACTGGCTAACTGTACCTCCAGTTTGTATAAATATTAGAACACTGGCTAACTGTCGTATCATGTATCAGAACACTGAGTAACTGTAGCTCCAGTTTGTTTACATATCAGAACACTGACTTAATGTAGCCTTGTGTATCAGAACATTGGATAACTGTAGCCTCATGTATCAGAACACTGCTAACTGTAGCTTCAGTTTGTATAAATATTTAAACGCTTGCTATCTGTAGTCTCATGTTTCAGAACACTGGCTAACTGTAGCTCCCGTTTGTTTACATATCACAACACTGGCTAACTGTAGTCTCATGTACACTGGCACTGTACAGTGAACACTGTAGGTTCAGTTTGTGAAACACTGGCTAAATGTTGCCTCAGTTTTGTTTACATATCAGAACATTGACTTAATGTAGCCTCATGTATCAGAACATTGGATAACTGTAGCCTCATGTCTCAGAACACTGGCTAACTGTAGTCGCATGTATCAGAACACTGACTAACTGTAGGTCCAGTTTGTTTAAATGTTAGAACACTGGGTAACTGTAGCTTCAGTTTGTATAAATATTTAAATGCTGGCTAACTGTAGTCTCATGTTTCAGAACACTGGCTAACTGTACCTCCAGTTTGTTTACATATTCTAACACTGGCTAACTGTAGCCTCAGTTTGTATAAATATTAGTACACTGGCTAACTGTAGTCTCATGTTTCAGAACACTGACTATAGCCCCAGTTTGTTTACATATCAGAACACTGGCTAACTGTAGCTCCAGTTTGTATATTAGAACACTGATTAAATGTAGCCTTGTGTATCCAAACACTGGCTAACTGTAGTCTCATGTATCAGAACACTGAGTAACTGTAGCTCCAGTGTGTTTACATATCAGAACACTGGCTAACTGTAGCCTCAGTTTAAATAAATGTTTGAACATTGCTATCGCCTAAGTTTGTACAAGTATGCGAACACTGGCTAACTGTAGTTCCAGTTTTTATGAATATAAGAAAGTGTAGTATAAGTCTAACTTCTACATTACTGTTGTATCATAGGGAAACTTGACAATGCAGCCTCATGTATCAGGACACTGGGTAACTGTAGCTCCAGTTTGTTTACATGTCAGAACACTGGCTAACTGCAGCCTCATGTATCAGGACACTGGGTAACTGTAGCTCCAGTTTGTTTACATATCAGAACACTGGCTAACTGCAGCCTCATGTATCAGGACACTGGGTAACTGTAGCTCCAGTTTGTATAAATATTAGAACACTGGCTAACTGTCGTATCATGTATCAGAACATTGGATAACTGAAGCCTCATGTATCAGAACACTGTCTAACTGTAGCCTCAGTTTGTATAAATGTCAGAACACTGACAGCAGTAAACAAACTGAAGCTACAGTTAGTCAGTATTTTGATAAATACACATGAGGCTACAGTTAGCCAGTGTTCTAATATTTATGCAAACTGGAGCTACATTTAGTCAGTGTTCTGATACATGAGACTACAGTTAGACAGTTTTCTGATACATGAGACTACAGTTAGACAGTTTTCTGATACACGAGGCTGCAGTAAGCCAGTGTTCTAATATTTAAACAAACTGAGGCTACTGTTAGCCATTGTTCAACAAACTGAAGCTACAGTTTTCAGTGTACAGTGCCAGTGTTCTGATTGGTTGGTTTGATCTCCTCCTGTGTGGCTACACGATAGCGGTCGGTCTTCATCACAGTAGTTTGGAGGATGATGTAGAAGCTGCCTCCTCTTTCTGAGACCTGTGGCACACTGCAGCAGGACCCAGTCCTTCGTTTGATCAAGTATTATAACAGACGGCTCTGGAGATGCTCCTGTGAACACAGTAAACAGACACATCAGCTATAAAAGGACAATAACAGGATTATAAATGTAACACTGTGATGTTTCTTGTTCGTCTCTTCTCTGGTTGTTAACAAGGATTAAAGTGTGTTTAACAGAAAAGCATAGTATCAGCCTCAGTTGCTCCTCCCAACAAACATTTGTAACTTTGACCAAATGTTTGGAAACTATTTGAAAAAATTTAAGATCAAAGAAACTTTATCTGTCTGATGAATCTAGTGCAGTAAAAAAGTACATTTCCCTCTGAAGTATAAAGTAACATAAATTGTAAATAAGTAAATAGGCCTACAAGTTCATCAAGGCCTTCAAGTGTAAACCTGAACTCTGGGTTGACGAACTCTGAGCTGTCAAAATCCGAGTTTTCCGTTTCAGAAAGTAGGCCTATTAACCTATTACATTTAGAAAGTAACCTTCCCAACACTGATCACAGGACTATGCAGGTGGAATGAAACGCTTAGACTACATAGTGAGCACTAATATAAAAACAGCAGATCACTGCTGAATGCTGTGGTTGACATTACGGCCTATTAAGTTGATGTCAGCAGCTGTTTAGCCACGATTATAGCAGCTGCATTGCTGTGATGCACAGATCGTCTCTGACAAAATTTGAATTTTCATGTATGTAGCTTTCCAGGTGATTTCTTTATTTAGTAGGCTGCTGCTGTATGAATGTTTTCTCTAATGATTTCCTTTCATGATTAGAAAGGCTGCTGTCAGTCATTTTAAACGTGTCTATGAGCACAGTAAAGTCACAGCAAATCTCGTGGGACTCTGCAGAGGAAACAGAATTAAACTTTTAGCTTCTGAAACCATTTGAGTGGCCTTTTATTGTGGCCAGCCTAAGGCACACTTATGCAATACCCATGCTGTCTGATCAGCATCTTGATATGCCACGCCTGTGAGGTGGATGGATTACCTTGGCAAGGAGAAGTGCTCACTAACACAGATTTGTGAACAATATTTGAGAGAAATAGGCCTTTTGTGTACACAGAGAAAGTCTTAGATCTTTGAGTTCAGCTCATGATGAATGGGGGAAAAGAGAAAAGTGTTGCATTTATCATTTTGTTCAGTGTACATTGGAAAAACTAAGCAATACGAGGGAGTGAGAGAAAAAGGAGATGGTGAGTTGTATGTGGAGAGAAAGACAAAGATAAAAATCTAAGAAAACAATTTACATTGGTGGTTGAATGAAATTACAAGAATTATCTTAAAGGTGAGTGTGTAACAATCATTTTTGACGTAACGTAACGTAACATTAAGATAATATATGTAAATGCCTCACACTACAGGATCAGCTGGGCAGATGATCTGTTCAGACCAGCCTCAAACCGGGAACAATCTGAGGTACAATTTCTGTACAATGGCAGGACCGTGGTACATTACTTGAACCATGGACAGGACAATGGCCTCTACCATGTACACAGACATAACCTTTTCAAATTGTAATGCAGTAACAATGACTCAGAATACATGTTCACTGACCTATTTCTTCACTTTTATGTAAATACATTATTACAGAAGAAATTTTACTTGTACATGAGTAAAATGTACTTGAAGTAAAAGTACTTGTAAAATAGTCCAGTACTCTTTCCATTCTTGTGTAAGGGGACCTAAAACAACTGTGTACACTCTTGTAAATCCAGATCAGTCCATATTGCACCTACTTCAGCCTGCCTGCCACCTGCCCCCACCATCCCTGCCACCCCAATCATCTGCTTGTTTGTTCATTAATGACTTTTTACTGTTCGTCTGCTGTGTGAAAAACACAACATTTCTGGTGTAAAGCAACAAAATCTCTTTGTAACCTACCAGCATATCTGTAAACATAGACGCACAGATCATTGACAAGTAAACACACTTTATTGAAGGAAAAGAAGCAGAAACATTGAATTAATTGGCTTTAAATTAAACTGGATCCGAAGGCTGACCAGTGACCTCCACCTCACACAGTGTCAGGTATTCTTGTCTTCCAGGAATCACAATGTTTACATAACGTCCTTCCATTCCATTACAAACAAAGGTTTGTGAGGCCCCAGCAGCGATAGATGAGATCACTGCACATCTGATGAATAAGAAAACACAAGTATTTGTAAAATAATTTTACCAAGTGAATGTTATGCATAGATCTCAGCAGTAGTTGTATCTACATACTGTTGAAGTTATGGTGAAATATTACTGTTCGGAAATGATGTAGATCTCAAGTGCACTAATTTCCTCTAACTTACACAACAAACGTTAAATGCTCAAACCTAATCAAAGACACAAAGGTCTGTTACCTGGGATTAGCATTGCGGTTGTCGATGATGGAATTTCCGATGCGGATCTCAGCACCATTGAGCCTTTCGGGGCAACAATCTTTTCTGTTGGTGATTGTGACGGTGTTGATCTTGTACGTTTTCAGGAGGTCCAGACTCCACCATGGATTTTGATCCCTCTGTGTGACTGAACAGGACTTTTCTTGCCTGTTGCTAGCACGATTTCCATCAATGGCCCTTTCAGGGACATCATTCCCATACAGCGAGGACTGAGTCGCTTTCCCACCTTTAGCAATATTTGTATCTAGGCAGAGTCGTAAAATGTTTTATTTAAAATTGTTTGAGAAATTCATACTTAGTATTACATGGTTTGATCTGACCGAAGCTACTAAAGAACAATCAGCATGTTTATTTGAACTTATACTGTCATTATCTGCTCAGAGGCATCTATTGGACACTATAGATGGTACAAATCAGCAGTTGGATCAGTGTTACCTGAAGGCTGACCAGTGACCTCCACCTCACACAGTGTCAGGTATTCTTGTCTTCCAGGAATCACAATGTTTACATAACGGCCTTCCATTCCATTGCAAACAAAGGTTTGTGAGGCCCCAGCAGCGATAGATGAGATCACTGCACATCTGATGAATAAGAAAACACAAGTATTTGTAAAATAATTTTACCAAGTGAATGTTATGCATAGATCTCAGCAGTAGTTGTATCTACATACTGTTGAAGTTATGGTGAAATATTACTGTTCGGAAATGATGTAGATCTCAAGTGCACTAATTTCCTCTAACTTACACAACAAACGTTAAATGCTCAAACCTAATCAAAGACACAAAGGTCTGTTACCTGGGATTAGCATTGCCGTTGTCAGTGAGGGAATTTCCGATGCGGATCTCAGCACCATTGAGCCTTTCGGGGCAACAATCTTTTCTGTTGGTGATTGTGACGGTGTTGATGTTGTACGTCTTCAGGAGGTCCAGACTCCACCATGGATTTTGATCCTTTTGTGTGACTGAACAGGACTTTTCTTGCCTGTTGCTAGCACGATTTCCATCAATGGCCCTTTCAGGGACATCATTCCCATACAGCGAGGACTGAGTCGCTTTCCCACCTTTAGCAATATTTGTATCTAGGCAGAGTCGTAAAATGTTTTATTTAAAATTGTTTGAGAAATTCATACTTAGTATTACATGGTTTGATCTGACCGAAGCTACTAAAGAACAGTCAGCATGTTTATTTGAACTTATACTGTCATTATCTGCTCAGAGGCATCTATTGGACACTATTGATGGTACAAATCAGCAGTTGGATCAGTGTTACCTGAAGGCTGACCAGTGACCTCCACCTCACACAGTGTCAGGTATTCTTGTCTTCCAGGAATCACAATGTTTACATAACGGCCTTCCATTCCATTACAAACAAAGGTTTGTGAGGCCCCAGCAGCGATAGATGAGATCACTGCACATCTGATGAATAAGAAAACACAAGTATTTGTAAAATAATTTTACCAAGTGAATGTTATGCATAGATCTCAGCAGTAGTTGTATTTACATACTGTTGATGTTATGGTGAAATATTACTGTTCGGAAATGATGTAGATCTCAAGTGCACTAATTTCCTCTAACTTACACAACAAACGTTAAATGCTCAAACCTAATCAAAGACACAAAGGTCTGTTACCTGGGATTAGCATTGCCGTTGTCAGTGAGGGAGTTTCCGATGCGGATCTCAGCACCATTGAGCCTTTCGGGGCAACAATCTTTTCTGTTGGTGATTGTGACGGTGTTGATCTTGTACGTCTTCAGGAGGTCCAGACTCCACCATGGATTTTGATCCTTTTGTGTGTGTGTACAGGAACCCTCCGGCCAGTTGCTAGCACGATTTCCATCAACGGCCCTTTCAGGGACAGCATTCTCATACAGCGAGGACTGAGTCGCTTTCCCACCTTTAGCAATATTTGTATCTAGGCAGAGTCGTAAAATGTTTTATTTAAGATAGTTTGAGAAATTCATACTTAGTATGACATGATTTGATCTGACTGAAGCCATTAAAGAACTGTCAGCACATTTATTTGAACGTATACTGTCATTATCTGCTCAGAGGCATCTATTGGACACTATTGATGGTACAAATCAGCAGTTGGATCAGTGTTACCTGAAGGCTGACCAGTGACCTCCACCTCACACAGTGTCAGGTATTCTTGTCTTCCAGGAATCACAATGTTTACATAACGGCCTTCCATTCCATTACAAACAAAGGTTTGTGAGGCCCCAGCAGCGATAGATGAGATCACTGCACATCTGATGAATAAGAAAACACAAGTATTTGTAAAATAATTTTACCAAGTGAATGTTATGCATAGATCTCAGCAGTAGTTGTATTTACATACTGTTGATGTTATGGTGAAATATTACTGTTCGGAAATGATGTAGATCTCAAGTGCACTAATTTCCTCTAACTTACACAACAAACGTTAAATGCTCAAACCTAATCAAAGACACAAAGGTCTGTTACCTGGGATTAGCATTGCGGTTGTCGATGATGGAATTTCCGATGCGGATCTCAGCACCATTGAGCCTTTCGGGGCAACAATCTTTTCTGTTGGTGATTGTGACGGTGTTGATGTTGTACGTCTTCAGGAGGTCCAGACTCCACCATGGATTTTGATCCTTTTGTGTGACTGAACAGGACTTTTCTTGCCTGTTGCTAGCACGATTTCCATCAATGGCCCTTTCAGGGACATCATTCTCATACAGCGAGGACTGAGTCGCTTTCCCACCTTTAGCAATATTTGTATCTAGGCAGAGTCGTAAAATGTTTTATTTAAGATAGTTTGAGAAATTCATACTTAGTATGACATGATTTGATCTGACCGAAGCCATTAAAGAACAATCAGCATGTTTATTTGAACGTATACTGTCATTATCTGCTCAGAGGCATCTATTGGACACTATAGATGGTACAAATCAGCAGTTGGATCAGTGTTACCTGAAGGCTGACCAGTGACTTCCACCTCACACAGTGTCAGGTATTCTTGTCTTCCAGGAATCACAATGTTTACATAACGGCCTTCCATTCCATTACAAAAAAAGGTTTGTGAGGCCCCAGCAGCGATAGATGAGATCACTGCACATCTGATGAATAAGAAATCACAAGTATTTGTAAAATAATTTTACCAAGTGAATGTTATGCATAGATCTCAGCAGTAGTTGTATTTACATACTGTTGATATTATGGTGAAATATTACTGTTCGGAAATGATGTAGATCTCAAGTGCACTAATTTCCTCTAACTTACACAACAAACGTTAAATGCTCAAACCTAATCAAAGACACAAAGGTCTGTTACCTGGGATTAGCATTGCGGTTGTCGATGATGGAATTTCCGATGCGGATCTCAGCACCATTGAGCCTTTCGGGGCAACAATCTTTTCTGTTGGTGATTGTGACGGTGTTGATGTTGTACGTCTTCAGGAGGTCCAGACTCCACCATGGATTTTGATCCCTCCCTGTGACTGAACAGGACTTTTCTTGCCTGTTGCTAGCACGATTTCCATCAATGGCCCTTTCAGGGACATCATTCTCATACAGCGAGGACTGAGTCGCTTTCCCACCTTTAGCAATATTTGTATCTAGGCAGAGTCGTAAAATGTTTTATTTAAGATAGTTTGAGAAATTCACCAAAGTATTACATGATTTGATCTGACTGAAGCCATTACAGAACAATCAGCATGTTTATTTGAACTTATACTGTCATTATCTGCTCAGAGGCATCTATTGGACACTATAGATGGTACAAATCAGCAGTTGGATCAGTGTTACCTGAAGGCTGACCAGTGACCTCCACCTCACACAGTGTCAGGTATTCTTGTCTTCCAGGAATCACAATGTTTACATAACGGCCTTCCATTCCATTGCAAACAAAGGTTTGTGAGGCCCCAGCAGCGATAGATGAGATCACTGCACATCTGATGAATAAGAAAACACAAGTATTTGTAAAATAATTTTACCAAGTGAATGTTATGCATAGATCTCAGCAGTAGTTGTATTTGCATACTGATGATGTTATGGTGAAATATTACTGTTTGGAAATGATGTAGATCTCAAGTGCACTAATTTCCTCTAACTTACACAACAAACGTTAAATGCTCAAACCTAATCAAAGACACAAAGGTCTGTTACCTGGGATTAGCATTGCGGTTGTCGATGATGGAATTTCCGATGCGGATCTCAGCACCATTGAGCCTTTCGGGGCAACAATCTTTTCTGTTGGTGATTGTGACGGTGTTGATGTTGTACGTTTTCAGGAGGTCCAGACTCCACCATGGATTTTGATCCTTTTGTGTGTGTGTACAGGAACCCTCCGGCCAGTTGCTAGCACGATTTCCATCAACGGCCCTTTCAGGGACAGCATTCTCAAACAGCGAGGACTGAGTCGCTTTCCCACCTTTAGCAATATTTGTATCTAGGCAGAGTCGTAAAATGTTTTATTTAAGATAGTTTGAGAAATTCATACTTAGTATGACATGATTTGATCTGACCGAAGCCATTACAGAACAATCAGCATGTTTATTTGAACTTATACTGTCATTATCTGCTCAGAGGCATCTATTGGACACTATAGATGGTACAAATCAGCAGTTGGATCAGTGTTACCTGAAGGCTGACCAGTGACCTCCACCTCACACAGTGTCAGGTATTCTTGTCTTCCAGGAATCACAATGTTTACATAACGGCCTTCCATTCCATTGCAAACAAAGGTTTGTGAGGCCCCAGCAGCGATAGATGAGATCACTGCACATCTGATGAATAAGAAAACACAAGTATTTGTAAAATAATTTTACCAAGTGAATGTTATGCATAGATCTCAGCAGTAGTTGTATTTAGATACTGTTGATGTTATGGTGAAATATTACTGTTCGGAAATGATGTAGATCTCAAGTGCACTAATTTCCTCTAACTTACACAACAAACGTTAAATGCTCAAACCTAATCAAAGACACAAAGGTCTGTTACCTGGGATTAGCATTGCGGTTGTCGATGATGGAATTTCCGATGCGGATCTCAGCACCATTGAGCCTTTGGGGGCAACAATCTTTTCTGTTGGTGATTGTGACGGTGTTGATGTTGTACGTCTTCAGGAGGTCCAGACTCCACCATGGATTTTGATCCTTTTGTGTGACTGAACAGGACTTTTCTTGCCTGTTGCTAGCACGATTTCCATCAATGGCCCTTTCAGGGACATCATTCTCATACAGCGAGGACTGAGTCGCTTTCCCACCTTTAGCAATATTTGTATCTAGGCAGAGTCGTAAAATGTTTTATTTAAGATAGTTTGAGAAATTCACCAAAGTATTACATGGTTTGATCTGACCGAAGCTACTAAAGAACAATCAGCATGTTTATTTGAACTTATACTGTCATTATCTGCTCAGAGGCATCTATTGGACACTATTGATGGTACAAATCAGCAGTTGGATCAGTGTTACCTGAAGGCTGACCAGTGACCTCCACCTCACACAGTGTCAGGTATTCTTGTCTTCCAGGAATCACAATGTTTACATAACGGCCTTCCATTCCATTACAAACAAAGGTTTGTGAGGCCCCAGCAGCGATAGATGAGATCACTGCACATCTGATGAATAAGAAAACACAAGTATTTGTAAAATAATTTTACCAAGTGAATGTTATGCATAGATCTCAGCAGTAGTTGTATTTACATACTGTTGATGTTATGGTGAAATATTACTGTTCGGAAATGATGTAGATCTCAAGTGCACTAATTTCCTCTAACTTACACAACAAACGTTAAATGCTCAAACCTAATCAAAGACACAAAGGTCTGTTACCTGGGATTAGCATTGCGGTTGTCGATGATGGAATTTCCGATGCGGATCTCAGCACCATTGAGCCTTTGGGGGCAACAATCTTTTCTGTTGGTGATTGTGACGGTGTTGATGTTGTACGTCTTCAGGAGGTCCAGACTCCACCATGGATTTTGATCCTTTTGTGTGACTGAACAGGACTTTTCTTGCCTGTTGCTAGCACGATTTCCATCAATGGCCCTTTCAGGGACATCATTCTCATACAGCGAGGACTGAGTCGCTTTCCCACCTTTAGCAATATTTGTATCTAGGCAGAGTCGTAAAATGTTTTATTTAAGATAGTTTGAGAAATTCACCAAAGTATTACATGGTTTGATCTGACCGAAGCTACTAAAGAACAATCAGCATGTTTATTTGAACTTATACTGTCATTATCTGCTCAGAGGCATCTATTGGACACTATTGATGGTACAAATAAGCAGTTGGATCAGTGTTACCTGAACGCTGATCAGTGACCTCCACCAAAGTATTACATGATTTGACCGAGGATACTAAAGAAATTACAATTAGTGTACAATATTTGCTTTGAACTGTAAACATTGTGAAAACATTTTTATATCACAACTGTTATATTTGCATGGCTTAATGTTAAAAATTGCATTAGGGCTGGGCGATAAGTTAATGAAGTTGTCACGATCCTGTCCTGGGCTTGTCTGGATTATATTATTTTATATCTTCTTTGTGTTTTGATTTTGTTTTCTCTGTGTCTGGGTTTTGGGTTTCAGTCCTGTCTGTGTGTCTTGTTGGGGAGTCTGGGTTTTTGTTCCATGTCTTTGTTCCTAGTCCTGTGCCTTAGTTCATGTTGTAGTATTTGCTTCTAGTTCTTTCTCTGCATCATTTTGGTTTAGTCTGCTCGGTACTCTGGGTTCTAGTTCTGGTTTTGTCTGTTATGATCCCTGTGTTATAGTTGGTCGGTGTTTGTCTGTTTACATGTGTCCTGCCTGTTCTTGGAACTACCTGTTCATCATTTTGGATGTACCAGTCTCTGCAACCTGTAAGCTTTAATGTTTGTTTTTGGTTTGGATTAAAATCCTGAACTTGACGTCGGCTCTCTAGTGTCTTGCGTTTGGGCTCTGTGCACTCATCAGGATCCTGACACAAGTAATCAAATCCAAAACTCAGAACCTCAAACCAAACTAATTTTAATATGTTGGTTATTTAATTGTTCTAATCATGTTCCACACTGTTAGTGTTCATCATGTTGTTCATGTACTTTCCCCTTAAACACCACCGTGTGTATAGTCATGTGACTCCGCCCCTTCCCGTCATGTTTAGATTCCAGACAGCAATTTGAAGCATAGGGAGATGTTAGCTTGCACTAATCTCTTTCATTTTCCAGCAGCTGGAGAAACAACATTTTATTAACAGACTGACTCTGACCTACATGTACATTTAGTGCCAGTCTGACAACGTACTCAGTTTCATCATCATTTTCTGTTGCTTGCTCCTCACATTTGCTCACCCACACACACGCTACATTGCACTGCCCTTAAAAGACCTCACTTACTACTACTCTCATACCAGCACCTGTCACATAGATGTTCTGTGAAGAATGAGGACAGGAAGTTATTCGAACGCTGTAAAAATGCAGTAATGCATGTAAAAATCATTAGCAGCGCATTGATATTAATAATTGGGTGAAATTTTTGTATTGGCAGACATAATTTAACAGCGGCGATCCACCGAATATAAGAACACATTTGTTATGTGCATGTGAACATTACATTATCAATTACATTATCAATTACTATTTAGATAATCGATTTTTGATATCTGTGAATCAAAGAAAAAATCCCGCTTTTAATAGTTAAGCATATTCACAGCCAACCAACCTTGTCAGTGAACTAGTGCAAAAATAAAAACAAAACAATTGTAAATTAATCGTAAGTGTTTATTTAATCGTGATTTTGATTTTAGATCATATCGTCCAGCCCTAAGTTGTGTGCATGTGCGTTTGCTTTGTTTTGATTTATTGAAGTGAACTGGCCCTCTTAAAAAATTCCTTATTTATTTAAAAACTAAAATTGGTCAATGGAGAAATATCAACTTTACCAAGTGAAAACATTAAAACAATTATCTCACCAGAAAAGCCACTTGTCTGTCCCAGAACAGCCAATAAGACAAAGACCACACCTGGAGAAATCATCCTGTAGAGAAAGTTCACCACATTTCTATGTAACACTGATATTATTTTTTTAGTTATTAGACCATGATTTAAAGACATTTGCATATATTTACACACATACATAAGATTCATATGTACTTTTAAGACAAAGAACAACTAATTTCAAAATTTAAAGATCAGGAAAGAAGCTCACCTAATGTCCACCTCTACATACTATTTTCATCTTCATACACATGACCAAATAACTGTTTCTGTCTACACTCACACTTAAGGGCAATTTAGAGTCACCAATTAACCTGCATGTCTTTGGACTACAGGAGGAAGCCGAAGCACCCAGAGAGACCACAGACAGACATCGTTAACTGTAACAGTAAAGTCTGAACTGAGTCTAAATTAAAGCTGTGTAACTGATAATGGTCAACATGGAACACAAAAGATGAAATAGAATGTGAGGTTAGTGAAAAAATACACGTCAGAAGCATAGTTGTATGGAAGCCCTGAGAGGCAAGTGGAAAAAAGTCTGATCTTAATTTGTTTTCTTTCCTCTGCTTATGTCTTAATGACAGTTTTGCCAGGATTATCTTTCTGAGTTCCTTTTTTTTCATCTGTGAAACAGTTTTGCCAGGTGAACAAAATAGGTGTTGCTAGGATAATGTTTATTTTTTTTACTTTTATTTCTCTCAGGCAAATAACACACACACATTCACGTCTTCTTCCATGTGAGTTTTAATTTCTCTATTTACTCTAAACACAAGGTGCATAACCTGTCAAAAACATTTAATAATAATAATAATAATCCTTATTTGTAGAGCACTTTTCAAAAACAAGTTACAAAGTGCTTTAACAAGTGTAAAGAATAATACAAAAAAAAACAAGATAAGAGCATGAAAAATTTAGGAGGAGGCCCAAATGAATGTATAGTTGGTCTGAGGTGTCTATGGATTAAAAAAGATCCCAAAAAACAGACCATAATAGCTTATGAGGCCCTTTTGCACGCAATGGGAGGAGGTCAAGATCAAACTAAAGCTTGTTTGAAATGTCTATTTAAACAATGAAAAAGCTATTAATAATATGCCATTTGCAGGCACTTTTGAGACTAACTCCAGCTCCTCATAGTGATGGGATAGGACGGCTCTTCATTTAGGACCACTTCTGCTGAGATTAAAACTTTATTGTCATTATGCAGAATACGGATACAGAAGCATCTAACCAGAAGTGCAAAAATATAGTTGTTTTTTTTTACAGATGAGTGCAGTTATGCCATATCTTACAATATGCAGTGACGGGAGCTAGCCATCAGTTACTTCAAAGAGCCGGCTCATAGAGCTGACTCGTTCACGGCCAACACATCACTAGCTCCACAGTTCCCTTGTCTACTGTTGAGTTGTGCACAGTGCCAGGCTTCACTATGGGATATGTTGGGATATGTTGGTAAATGTTGGTTTCTTTTTATTTGTTTGTTTTTTGAATTCTTTGTATTAAAAGACAGTTTAAAACATACATAGCAATCACCATCTATATCAAATGTTTTTGCTCGTAGATAAATTCCCACCCGCCTTTAATTAATTATTTTTTAAATTTAGATCTAACTTGCCTTTATAAGATCCCTTACCTGACCAAGACATCAAGATCCCAAAAATGAAAAAACAAACGTGAAAAACAAAAAAAAGGGAGATGATTGTATGAACGTAAAGAGAGTATCAGCATAAATGTTTCTGTTAACCTTTTCCAAACATAAAAAAAAAACAATCTTCCGGAAGCTTGTTGTTCAGTATCAGGAATGTTAAGGATTGTATCACAAACTCTTCCCCCTGGATCTGATGCACATTCAGACCTTTCTGAAAAATGACTATTGGCACATATTTATAGCTTTAGCATTAACCTGTTATAGTAACTAGGCATAACCCAAATACATCAATCATTACTGTACATTCATATTATGTACATAATTAAATGGTTTTAGCACCATTGCTGGGAATAGTAGTTATTTTATCAGCCTCTCAAGCTGTTGCTCATCCTCATTCTCATTCTGAATTATTTTGTTAGTATTTGATGAATAAGTAGCATCAATATACTATCCATTTCAAATTGCATTACATCTCTCAAATCCAAAACTTTATAACAACAAAACAACAATTTTACCTAAGACATTTTCATTTTTGTTATGAAGATATTTATTATGGGATTTTTAGCTTGTCATTACCTATCTGCAATGTGAAGAGGTACCTAAATTTATCAGTTACTACTTTAATGGCAAAAGAATGTCAGTCACTAATCCAATCAAAGACCTACCTTGTAGTTTTCAAACACCCTGGAAGCAGCTATGATCTGCATGTTTCCAGAGAGAGCAGTTATTTTATACTTTATTGCAGAGTATTGTTTGTTTAATGAACATCCTAGTCACATAGGTGGTGTTTGCAAACCTTGTAAATACATCAATTTTTATCAAATGTCATGTGCCTAATCTCATGTGAATGTGTACTCTTTGCTGTGGCACCAAAGTCAATATTTGTTCACCAGGGGCAGAGTTTCACTGGAAGTCAAAAAGATACAACTATCGAAAACAAACAGGCAGCAGAAAAATGTAAATCCAAAACAAACAAATTGGCAGTATTACTGGGAGGCTGGTGGTGATGGTGTATAGATAAGATGCTTGCCATTGGCGTGGGAAATACCATTGCTCCAGAGGGGTGCAACCTCTGACATGTGTAGCAATTCTAAGTCGCTTTAATAAAAGCGTCAGCTAAATGAGTAAATGTAAATGTAGGCGTATGTTGGGACCAGGACAGTATGAGAACAAAGTTAATGTGGCCTGCATGGAATTTCAGAAGCATACTGTAACTGAGGCCTTCTACAAAAAGGGCGGTATAGGCTGCAAAATTCTCACTTGAATGATTAAATGATGTTGAAGGCTGACGCTAAACTGTATGACTGTATCTCTGATGTATTAAAATCTAAAAGCATCAAGAAAATTACAACAATATGACAATGTTGGTTATAAGTTTCTCCTCCAGTGTGTCTCTTCCAGAATGCATCTCAGAGTTTATGATACATGTGATTGTTGTCTCTTTCACACAAAACAGAGACATAATTTGTTTCTATAAAAGAAACCAATTTTTCTATGAAAGAAACCAATTTCGAATCTTAACTTTCTCATCAAGTCATAATATTAAATATGTGATTGTAAAGATGTTCATCCAACCAAATACCAAGTTATTTGCAAACTGGAACATGTTCTATAACAGAACCATCCAGAGACAAATCTGAATGTGCACGCTCCCTGCATATTGAGATATCCAATCCTAACTTCTTTATATATTTCAAGAAGACATCTGTTAGGCCTGTACCTGATGTGTCAAGCACAGGCAGGAAAGTAACAAAATGCTCGCTAACAGTAGCACAGACACCAACTTGGCATTTGACAAGGCACAGTGTCACAGAGAGCTGTTCTATTGTTCTCTTTTTCTAATGGGGTGTTGAGCATGTGGAGGTGGGAGATGGCAGTCTCTCAGACAATCAAATGATATGTTTTTCTCTTCCTATCATTTTGATAGCATGTCTCTTTCTTCTCCTCGGTGCAAAAAAGAGAAGGGAAAGGATAGAGATATAAAAAAACAACAGATTTTGTCCTTTGCCATCAGGTCCACGAAGATCATTTGTCCTTATTTTGGGGGGATAAGTAATGTTCAAGTTGTTTGTCTTTTATTTCTCACTTCCACAGATCTGAATACCAATGCTCTCTGTTTCCTTTTATCAACAACCAGCAAAGCTTGGTGGCTCAGCTAACTAAAGTATTTGCACTACGAGGTTGCTCTTACAGCTTTCCTAAAATTCCTTAATTTTTATTTTAACTTCAGGTGGAGTGTGGTTAGCTCACTTAGTGCCCGTCCAATGTACGAGACTGAGTCCTTATTGCTATAGCCTAGGTTTGAGTCCAGCCTATCACCCTTTGTAGCGGGTTGCCCCCTTTCACACTCCTCATTTCCTATTGCTATTCACTGTCCTGTCAGCAGTGGTTATCAATGTCGCCTCACAGCAAGAAGTTTGTGGGTTCGAACCTAGGTCTTCCAAGGCCTTTCTGTGTGGAGAGCCACAATGCCATGGGCATCCTGGTGATGGACACTAAGGATGAATCCCATTTCACCACTTGCCCCTACCCCTTCATTTTGCAATTTCACACCTAGAGGTAAGGTATCCGGGTTCTTGTTGCAATACAGGGGTAACTACACAGCCCTCGAAACAGAGATGTTTCAGAGGCACATTTCAAACGGAGGGCTACGAGAAAGCTCCCAGAATGCATTGTTAGACTGAAGAAGTGAACCAAATGCCACACCAAGTTTATGCATTTTACAACAAAATGACAAAAAGTCACACCCCTATCGACCAAATTGTTCTTTTCTCTCTCTCACTCTATACACTATTTTCTTTCTATCTTCCTCCTAGCTCATACACTATACTGCCAAAAGTTTTAGGTGGTGTATAAAATCAAGCACCTAGGCATGCAGACTGCTTCTACAAACATGTTTGAAACGAAAGGTCACTCTCAGGAGCTCAGTGAAAGCATGGTACTGTGATAGGTTGCCACTTGTGCAATCCATCCAAGTCCATTCGTGAAATTTCCTCACTGCTAAATATCCCATGGTCAACTGTTAGTGGTATTATAACAAAGTGGACGTGTTTGGGAACAACAGAAACTAAGCCACAAAGTGGTAGGCCACGTAAAATCACAGAGCGGGGTCAGCGCATTCTGAGGTAATTTTCAATAGCATAGACTGGCACCAGACGTGACCATATTTGGACGAGACGGTGGACCCGGCTCGTGTGAAGCTAGCTATCTTGGTTAGCAAGATGCATCTGTAAGTCATGTTAACTGTAAGTTTAACCAAGATGATAATTTTATCTAGCGAGCAACAGGCTTAAAACAAAATGTAATCACCAGAGAAAATGAACAGCCAACTCTTAATTCTCTGGTTGAACTGGAAAATAACAAAATATTTGACAAGTTTCAATCTGGTTTCAGGAAGTACCACAGCACTGAGACTGCCCTGCTTAAAGTTACCAATGACCTTTTAATGTCTGCTGATGAAAGCATGTGCTCAGTCCTGGTACTCCTGGACCTTAGCGCTGCTTTTGACACCATTGATCACAACATCATGTTAGACAGACTCAGGCACTGGGTGGGGATCTCTGGTACTGCCCTAGAATGGTTTTCATCTTACCTGTCAAATAGGAAGTTTTGCGTGTCTGTAAACAACTATGTCTCTTCGTTCTGTCCAGTTAAATATGGTGTGCCTCAGGGGTCGGTCTTAGGACCCATTTTGTTTTCCTTGTATCTGCTTCCCCTTGGACATATTATCCTTCAACATGGTATTTCTTTTCATATTTATGCTGATGACACACAAATATACTTGCCCGTCAGATCCACAGACCCTGGAATGCTGAGTTCACTTAACAACTGCCTTTGTGAAGTTAAAAAATGGATGTCAAATAATTTCCTCCAGCTGAACTCAGACAAAAAAGAAATCCTGGTTATTGGGTCCCAGCAGATGCCATCTGTTGGTTCCCTACTAAATCACATTAAGCCTGTGGCAAAGAACCTTGGTGTTTGGTTTGATAGTAATTAAAATTTCGAGCAGCACACCACAAAGCTTCAATCATGTTTTTATCAACTTAGAAATATAGCAAAAATTTGATCTATGTTAACTTTTAAGGACACCGAGACCATTTTACACGCCTTCATCTCATCACCCCTGGATTATTGCAACAGCCTTTTCACCTGTTTAACCCAAAAATCTATTGATCGACTCCAGACTGTCCAGAACTCAGCTGCCAGGCTTTTAACCAGAACAAAGAAATATGACTACATTACTCCTATTTTAGCTTCATTACACTGGCTCCCAGTATGTTTTAGAATTGACTTTAAAATTCTATTGATCACTTTAAAAGCTCTTCATGGCCTCTCGCCTTGTTATATTTCTGACCTTTTAGTCCCATACGCACCAGCACGTACCTTGAGATCCTCGGGCAGAGGTCTGCTGTCTGTTCCAGAGTCTCGACTGAAAACTAAAGGGGACAGAGCGTTTGCTGTCAGGGCCCCGAGGCTCTGGAACAGCCTGCCCGAGGAAATCAGGTCGGCTGAGTCAGCGAACTCTTTTAAGTCCCTTCTTAAAACATACTTTTATAGGAGAGCCTTTCCCGATCTTATTTGACTTTATTTTATCCCTTTTATTTTATTCTATTTTACTAATTTTATATTTATCTTAAATGTGTATTTTAGTCTCTTCAGTGTTTTCATGCTTTTATCTTGTATTGTTTTTGTATTATTGTCTTTTGGGTATTATTGTCTTTACACTTTGTAACTTGTTTTTACAAGTGCTCTACAAATAAAGATTATTATTATTATTATTATTGTCTCTGGGGTTTTTTTGTGCCCACTTACTATGCCAACATTCTATGGAACTGTTAACTATTGATACCTTTTAAGTTAATGTTAATGTTAAATCACGGGCTTTTGTCAACCAGAGCTCTGCTGTAAACTGTGCCACAGACGTCCACTCCGTCGATTGTCCGGCCGACCCCTTCTCCTCATGCCCAGTAGGGGGAGTGACTGACATCAGCCCCATTGGTGGTCCGACCGACTCCCACTACTCGTGCCCAGTCGGAGGATCGACTGACATCAGCCCCGTTGGTTGTCCGACCGACTCCCACTCCTCGAGCCCAGTCGGTGGATCGGTCAGTTTCTACTCTGTCGGTGATCCAACCGAGTCCTACTCCTCATGCCCAGTCGGAGGATCGACTGACATCAGCCCCATTGGTGGTCCGACCGACTCCCACTCCTCGAGCCCAGTCGGTGGATCGGTCAGTTTCTACTCTGCCGGTGATCCAACCGAGTCCTACTCCTCATGCCCAGTCGGAGGATCGACTAACATCAGCCCCGTTGGTGGTCCGACCAACTCCCACTACTCGTGCCCAGTCGGAGGGTCGACTGACATCAGCCCTGTTGGTTGTCCGACCGACTCCCACTCCTCGAGCCCAGTCGGTGGATCGGTCGGTTTCTACTCTGCCAGTGATCCAACCGATATTTCGATTGTGAAGTATTTCTTGAATAACCCAGAATATGATCATGGCGTCTTTTGAACATTGAAAATAATTTATTAGCCTAAATGTTTAGGCTCAAGAATTATTATCCTCACATGGGACTGAATGGAAATACAATAAAATATTTAAAAATTGTTACTTACTTACTGATTGAATCTCTAACTCTCAGTGACCTTTAATTGGGGGAAACAACAGAAAAGAAAAATCTTATTCATGCTCAGAGAGGAGACAAATACTGTGTG